ATATTTAAAATATCCAGATAGACAAACCGTTTTTATAAGCGATATAACGACGGAATAAGGCATTTAAAACGTTTTGCATCCATTTATAACTACGTAAATATTAAGTGTAACAAAAGATGGGATCAATATTCTTATTAGTGTATAAATGGGTGGCGATAAAAACATTATTTAGCTTTAAGCGATAGCCTTGGAAAGGAAATACATAAAAATACATTCTGAAAAAGTAGTCTGGAGTAGAGAAAAGGAGTAAAAATTTGAAGGAGTAAAGAGGTTAGTTTGCATACATCTTATGATATTCGATGATAGCATGATTAAAAAATTGACTCCAGAAATATGGAGGAGATAAGGAAAATGATTAGTAGAATGAAGAAATTTGTACAGCCAAATCCGGGTGTTTTGGGGGAATGCTGTAGATTTGCCGTAAGAATAACAAAGTAATGCGGATTTAACGACTTTACACGTTAGAATTTAGCCTAAACCTAGTTTATATAAAGTGTACAATAGTTAAGCTCAATAATAGTGGCAATGTGACCGTTTTTTCGAAGTTACTTGTAAAAACGAGCTCTGAACAGATTTAAAAGCCGGAATTTGGATCGAAGAGTGATGCAGAATGTGTTCCTAAAACAGGCTGAAAAACGCTTACATCACCAGATGATAAGGTAAGTCAGCAAAATAATTTATTAAAAATGTAGTTGAAAATAGAAATGGCCTTAAGTTGTTGTTAGCTCGCAACTCGGCTGAATAGGAATATCTGATACATTTACTAAGGATGGTGTAAATGCACAAAGGATAATGGATTAGAATACTTAGTGGATAAGATGAAAGCATTTAGGTTTAGAGACAATCATTGCACAATGAGGTCTGGCCGGGAAGCCCGTCACGACAGGGACAAATGCGCTGTGGTCGAATTCCACTCCGCAATTTAGCCCTTAGCTCTGCTTCAGCAAACGCTTCAGTCCCTAAATTTAAGTCCTCCTCAGTTATTTCAAGGCTGTCTGCTTCGCAGTTGAAATGTGTCGCCATGCCCTGAAACAGACAAACTGGCCTATCATTCCTTTGAGTATTAATATGAGAGATGGTATGGGGAAGAGATGGTGAATTTTGAAGAACATTAATTGAATTTGATAGCCAGATTAGCATAGGCGCAGCTAGTCCCGCACGTAAGTCTGATACGATAATAACGCGTTGACAGACAATACCGATGTGCGTCTGTAGGAAGACTCGTGAATTTGCGAGCGGGAAGTGCTCGCCAGCGCAGAAGTGCCGTCCTGGAGTACTATGATTCACCGAAATCGGGTCTGTGTGCTCAAGGTAGGCGAATCGGAGTTTTAGATAGGGACTTTTCTGTTGAAAAAAAAGAATGAAATAAAAGGTGTAGTGGCCTTGGACATGTGTTTTACACTTAGTGACGTCAATTCGCGTTTTTATTAAAATAAAAAATATCCAGGTCATCTTCGACTTTTCCCAAACTAACAAAGTCAGCGCATATTTTGCGTCTCACTACCACGGAGTAGACACGTCTAATCTATCTGCTTTCTAGCAACATTGATAGACTTCCAAGGACCAGAGGAACAGCACTTACCCGGTCTTTGGAAAAGTTAAAGACTATTTAAGAGTTCAGAACTCATGATCGCTTGCACGTTTCCCTTAAGACAGCAAAGAATCAAATCAATCAATGCATAGCAAGTAAGCCTCATCAATTATCTCGTGATTCTACCACAAGGTTTGAGAGATTCTTTACTAGCGTACGGAATATGTTCATTCTTCCGGACATTGAATCTTGATTTTGTGCAGCTTTTATTGACAGTTAAAGCTTTCTCTCCCTATGGACTTTAGGCTTCTTCCTTAACTAGTAAAGAGGAGAATACCATTTAAATTGTGTTGTGTGCCTCGGCGATTAGCGTTTAACGTCTATCCAAGCTTATGGCGCTCATCCTCTGGTTAGGGATGTGTTTAGCTAAGAACCAATACAAAAGCATTTTATTGTTGTGGAGACTTACATTTTCTATGAGAGTACATTACGAAGACATATTTAGGTCAACCTCATTAGAAGACGGCGGCAAATTCCCAATGTACTGCAATCGTTGGACTTTAACATGACGTTCAGGTTGATAAAGTCCACGAGACATCCCCCCTCGCTTCAGATGAAAACGGGCTAAGCTTTCGCTCGTCATATAACGAGCGGCTAATTCGAGAGGACTGACCGGCTATTTCCTACATGCTATATTTACTCAAAGCAAAAAATTATTATAGATAGATGAGTTTAGAGTGGTTTGTATAGTTTCTTCTAACCTGTTAGTTTGGGGTCATTAAAGTTTGATGGCCCAAGAAAAACATTATTGGGATTGCTTAAACTCGTAAGCTCGTTTTGGTTTATGAGCTTACTCGCCTATTGAGCAAATGTGAATTTAGTTAACCATCAATAAATTGACAGGTTGAGTCGCATTCCTCACATTCAACATATTCTCGAATATATTATTCTAAATAGCCTCTCTTATATTGCGCTTCGTAGCATATATACTATAATCAGCAAATCTCTGCATCTGAGACCATCCTATCTCATGTTTAGTCTCCAACCTGTGCTTAGCCACTTCTTGCCGTTCGACCCTGCCTATGCAAGCACTAATGTTTGGCGGAAAGGCTAAAAGATCTAGCAACATAAGATCGATCATGGGACCACAATCTTGTAACAGCCGGCTCTTGTTAATGGGTAATATTGCTCGCTAAAAAAAGCATAACCGAAGAAAGTGCCAGTGTTTCTTTCACAAGGGTTTGTATCCCACACTTCTTCGCTAGTTCGCCTATATTCTTATATAGGAGGCATGACGGCAAGATTATGACAAGAAGGGGTCGCAGCTTGGTTCAAATTCTTGTCATCCATCTTTTTGCTATGTTGAAATCAAGAAAGCAATCTCCAGCAAGTCAGTAGTTTTCAAAGAAACTCTGACGCCATTTTCAGTTACTTCTTCCTCTAGATGGAAATATGACGCATTATCAAGACCCAGCTTTACAAGAATATGCGCAGATTTTAGGTTGGTGAGACTTTTCGGCCTATCCGCCAAGGATTAGCAGAACACAAAAATGTTTGCAAAGACAGCTGGGTCTCACAGCTATTTGAAAATATGAAGAAAAATTGGGTTTCGAAGAATTCCTTAATGGAATATTGTGGCATGACTCTCCATTTCGAATATAAAGTTGGTTGGAAGGAATTTGTGATATGGTCTCACCAGAAACCGAAGGGGGATTGTCGCTTAAGGAAGACTGCTGAATTGTGCGAAGAAGTCCTCGGCTCACCGTCCTGTGACCCCGACGAAGCTGCTAAGATTTCGTCCGTACTGTGACAGACAGAGCTAGATTCCATACTTTAAGAAATAGAGCAAAAATGCACTAAACCAAGAGAAAAGATGGCCAGCTGCAACCCTAGTCGTTTTTTTATACACCTAACGTCATGATCTTAGTTAGTCATCTCGTGATTTGTTTGGCTATTTCAATCCTATTTTACATGCTTGTAAATGAGTAAAGTCAGCTTCCAAAACCGGAAGTGCGTTCGGTGTCAGGTGTTTCATTACACAAAAAATTAGCGTACGATAGTCTAACGCTGAATCATGCTTCGACTTGTGCTATTGTGGGTATGTAATGTTCATGTCATGGGAAGTGTGATAGTGGCTAGTCCAGCCTCCTCTTCGTCAGTGGCTCTTCCTGCTCTCCCTCTCTCTCCCTTTC